CAAGCGGCACTGCTCAGTCTAGCTCTCCCGCAGAGCTCTTACACGCAGGCTACCAGAAGGGAACTGCCAGCCAGGCTCCAGCCTAGCTGTTTATAAGGGCCCGGCCCTGCCCCCTTCCGGTCACATGACCCCTCTGGTTGCTCTAGCAACCTGCAGCTGAGCTGCCCTGGTGATTGGCATCTGCTCTAATCCTTGCTTAGGCACGGGGCACCCAAGTGCCCCCATGACAGTAATGACATGCCAGAAATTTGAACTGATGTAATCAGGAGTAACTCTACTCAGAAGAGTTCAAATACATCTGTGTAAAACAGGTTCCCATAGAGGTAGGCCAGGTCTGTACTAAGTAGGCTGCATGAAGGTACCTGCAGAGCCAAACCAACTAGTCTGCAGTCTCACTGGATGCAGTGGCCAGTGAATCCACAGACTCATGGACCAACGGCCACATGACACGGAGCAACACACAGGACCGGCGCCTGGGTTTGAACAGAGATAAAGACCACTCAGCAGTCTTGCATCAGTCAACATCATTAACTCTGTAGTGGGCTCTCAACTGATGGGCAAGGTTTGCTCTACTGGATCTTACACACAAACCATCAGGAACAAAGATAATGAGGGGACAGATCAATCACTTTAATTGCACCAAAGCAGAGACAACAATAAGAATATTATATTTTCAGGTACAAACTCACCATAAATATAGCATTTGCTAATATTTGGAGGAAGATGCATCCATTTCATTCCCTCTGCTTCATTGAGGTTTTTCCATTCAATAACAAAAGATTTTATCATGTAAGTTGGAGGTGAAAGCGTCCATGTCAAAATTACACAACTGCTGTTTACTGGATAGGCTGCAAGTGATTGAACCGTATTCACTGGGGGGAAAAAATCCAAAACAAATTTCTAAAATGTACATACATACATCAGGCACTGACAGATGGGGCGGGGGGAACTGCTTTACCGGAAGAGGAATCCCATCAGTTTGACCCTGCTCCCCAAAATCTGTATAGCTCACCTGCTTCAGCAGGAATTTTTGTCGCTTTTACCTAATAGCTGATGCAATCGGCTATTTGATAAAAGTGCCAAAAAGCCCTGCTGAAGTGCACAAGCTATACAGATGTTCGGCAAGCTGGATCAAACTGATGGGATTCCTCTTCTGGGCATGTGCTGCACTCTGTGCTGGGGCACGCCAAGCTGAAAGTAAAATGCTGGCAGTTTTTTTCTTTTTTTCCATGTCTGTAAGCAACCTTCATTATAAAGTAGGGTTAGATGGCATGCACACTGGGCACCTCATTCAGTTGAATGACTGCAACCATTTTGGTTCTTTACCATTATTATTTTTAGTTTCTAAACTCAGGCTGCTTACAGACATTAAAAACAAAACCAAAAAAAACATGCTTTACCAGAAGAAGCAGTGCATTACTTCGACCCAGCTCCACAGCATCTGTAGACATTGGGTGCTTCAGTGGCGCTTTTTGGCACTTTTGGCCAAAGCTGACTCAATTAGCTATTAGATAAAAGCACCAAAAAAGCCCCACTAAAGAGTCCAATCTATACAGACATGGGGTGAGCCAGGTCCAGCCAACGTGCTGCCACTTCTGGGCACATGCTGGGCTCAGCTTGGGAATGCGCAGAATTTAAGGTAAAGCACCATGTTTATTTATTTGTTTTGTTTTTTTTAACATCTGCAAGCAGCCTCAATGTACTTTGCACATTATGGGCTATATCTTCAGCTGATGTAAACAAGTGCATCTCCACTGAAATGAGAACTATGTTGATTTACACTAAGCATCTTGGCCCCAAATATTGTACAAATCAAATTTCCCACCACATTTCACATGGAGTATTCTCTCTATATATTCTGGTTTTTACTTAGGTCTCTAACTTTCACCCTCTAGGCCAAGTCATGGCAATAGCTAACGATCAACAATATTTTGCTGATAAGATATACAGCATAAATCTGTGGACCAAGGGCAGAATTCTATTTCATTTTACCCTCCCAAATGGCAGTTTTCCATCTCTATAAGTGACATTTTTGGTACTCATGCACAATATTCAACTTCATTTCCCGATACAGTGTAGACACATAAGCATGCTCACTAGGCTACACAGTGGTGGGGCAGGCCTGCAGTCCAATATATGCATATACTCCCCATACATAAGTCACAAAATTATAGCTGGCAAAACTCTAACTAGTGGGTGTTAGATGAAGGAAGATGACATAAGTGGTTCGGGCACTCATCCAAGAAACAGAAGAACCAAGTTCTAGGCCCCTCTTACCTACAGGGGATTTGAATCTGCATCTCTAACTTCACTGAATATTGGATAAACTGAATAGTGATTTAGCAACAGAAGGAGGCTGGATAATGTTGGCCTGGTGGTTCAAGCACTGTGCTGGGAAACAGGGGAGACCCAGGTTTGAACTACTCCCCTTAAGTAATAAGGGGCTAAAACCTAGGTTTCCTACTTTCTGAGCAATTGCCCTAACCACTGAGCTATTGAGTTGAAAACACAGAAGGGTGTTCTTCCTCCTGATAATTTCAGGACTTGTACTCCAGTACACATAGCTGCTAGGGATGTGCGAAGCTTCAGTCCCTGTTTCGATTCATCCCAATTCAGTGGCCAAATTTCCTAATCTGAATAGAATCAAAGGACCCTTTAATCTCTCTGAATCAAATTGGAACCCCTTGAATCAATTCAGAAAGATTCAGCAATTCAGACACAGACACAGCTTTAAATTTTTTTCCACATACCTCAAGGTACCAGGCAGCTTGTGAATGCTGCGATGCTGGGGCTCATGGAGCATCCTACAGGAGCGTGGGAGGGGCGGTCCCCAGGGTGCTCTGCAGCAGACCCGGAAGTGGACCAGAAGCATTTCTGGTCCACTTCCGGGTCTGCTGGACAGGGCATGGGGGCCCCCCGCGCACCCTCCCCCAGCTTGGCAACTGGTGCCTCCTGGGTCTGGGGGGGCACCCCAGGGTCCCCCTCATGGCCGATCATCGAGCCAAGGGGACATGTGGGGGCCCCCAGCGTGCTCCCCAGTGGACCTGGAAGTGGTCCAACCCCCCCGCCCCGCACTCCTGTGGGACACTCCATCCACCCCAGCATCGCAGCGTTTACAAGCCACAACACAGACCTCGAGGCATGTAGAAAAAACCTTTAAAGCTGTGCCTCTGTCCGAATTGCTGATTCTCTGAATCAGCATTGAATCTTCAATTTGGCCAAATCTGAATCTGAATCAAGGACAGTGATCCAAATCAACAAATCGAATCCCTGTCCCCAATTCAGCCCGAATCCGAATGGAATAAGGCCCGCTTTGCACACCTCTAATAGCTACATACCTGCCTGGCCAGTGTGCAACCTACTGCACAAACTTCAGCAGCTGTGCTAACGCTCACGTACACACATTGCACAGGCAAAAGAATTAAAAGCTGCACTTAAGTGCCAAAAATTCCATTTCTGCAGCTAGAAAACTAGCACTTGGGATGTAAAGTAACATTCAATTTTTCCTTCAGTATCCTAATGCCCCTCTAAAATGTAAACAGCACAGAGAAGAGTCTGAAGTCAGCTGATCCCCTTGTGCTCTGCTGCTCAATGCAGTTTTTCTGGAATACATGTATGCTGTGCGCCTGCCAGAACCTGACCTATGAAAAGTATGTGTTATTAACAATTAAAGTGTAAATAATTACAGTATATCTATGTCTAGATATTTCTGTTTCCCACATTGTAGGTTTTCTTAGCTTTTTATATTGTGGCATTATTTAAAATACAGACAAATAACTTTTATAAAGCAAAGTAAAAGCTTGCTAAATTGATACAAATGATTCTACTAAGTATCTAATCACTAATGAAACAGCACAGTATTGGCCTTTGATATTATGCTTTATAGAGTAGAACTGGTTGAACATTTTCTCTAGGAAATTTTACTTCAACAGAAACCATGCAGGCTGCCTAGCTGCTCTACTGCCAACCCTGCACCACACACAGGCTTCTGACCCCCCAGCATCACTGGCTCCCCCCCTACAATAGGTCACGTGGCAGGCTGCAAAGAATTCCCTGGCAGCCAGCTTCCAGGTTACAAGGGGAAATGAACTCCCTGGGTTGCATGATTCACTAGCAGGTGGGTGGTACCAGGCCCCCCAGGCAGCCAGGCAGCCTGAGCGCCAGAAACCCAGGGAGCCAAAAGCTCAGGAATCTTATTTCATTTTGGAAACAACAAAATGTTCCCTAAGCCAGAATGATGGAGTGTTTGCAAACAAAGAATTAGAGAAGTTGAGTTCTGAAAAAATGAGGAGGATGTTTTGAGTGTTTTTTGGGACAGAAAAATACTCATTTGCCAGACAGCTTTGTCATTAGTCTACAGAAACTACGTCCCACACAATAGCTGAGAATATTGTAAGACAAAGATTTCCTTTATAGAAATAGGAAACTCCGAAAAACTGAATCCCTGAAGTTAAACATTTATTAATGCATCATAATCATTACTAACCTTTTGTTCTTACCTGTGCTCATTTGCTGTGACAGAGGTAAATAAAAATTCACTAAGGATGCTCCAACTGAGTTGATGGCTAGAATTGTAACAGCGCGTGCCTGATCGGTCCATGGAAACGTGTACGTAGTGCCACTGTCTACATATTCTGACCAAGTCATATTTTCTGAAGTGCGGTGCTCTATCATATATCTGCTCACACTGCATAATGAGTAATTCTTTATCAAGGGCTGCAGGACACATTATTAGCATGTATTAGTTTGCTGTGATATGCTTTCATAAAAATGATAAAATCTAATCTTTTTACTTAGTAGAGGGCAGCTTTCAAGTTAAGACAGCATAACTCCAAACGATGCTCCGTAGCAAGAATACTTTTCTATAGCTAAAATGCTATTGTCCATTCCAACATGCTCAATATTTCCATCTCTAACACTGAACAGCTCTACTAGCTCTGTCTCTCCTGCAAGGGGAACTAAGGAAATACAAACCTTCAGTTTGCCGTGGTGCAGCAGGAGGAGTGGAGCAGCTGCTGCTCCCCATGCCTTCTCCAGACCAGAATCAAGACCAGAATGAAGGCGCAGAGAGCAGGAGAGAGGAGGCATCTGCAGGCTGAACACTGTTATATTCCCTTCTCCTGGAAAGATTTCTAGTGTTGGAAATTTCTCCAAGATTTCCATTGCTAGAAATGAACGCCTGTTCAGGGCCTATGACAACCAGGGCAATTTACTAGTTCACTGGCTAGCGTTCTGCTGATTTGGAGCTCTGCTGAGCTATATGTAGGTGAAATGAGAGGTGTGTGTACATGACACTTTAATGCAGGCTAAATGCTTTTGCACCACTCTAATGGTGTCAGTGTTTGCACTCCTCGGCGGCATATTGCACATTAATTCCAGCCGCTGTGGGAAATTCGGCAGCGTAATCTGCCTTAAATGACTTGGGGTGTAGCAAACTAACTCTCCTCCAAAGCGTTTTTGTTTGCTGCCCCTACAGCTGTGAAGCGAAGTGAAGCACCAGGCTCCATGCAGCTCCGCAGCTCTGCGGGAAGCCCTGCAGGCAGCCTGGCAGCAGCCCGGGAAACCAGACTCCACCCAAGAAAAGTGGAGAGCCTGATCTCCCCCCACCCCACCGAAGCCTGCCTGCCTGCCTGAGCTGAGCAGGGGCCCAGTGTTTCTCTCCATGGCTGCGGTGCCCCCTGGGACCACCTGAGCCAGGTGCCTGTGGGCAGATGCCACCAGGGGTGGGATGCCACTGCCATGGAGGGAAGCACCAACCCACCCCGCCCCCCTGTAGCCCAGGAACCACCAGTAGTTTGCCCTCCCCTCCCCACCAGAGAGGCAGATAAGTCAGTGGGGTGTGTGCATGACACAGGTGTTTAATTAGCCCTAAATTGAAGTGGTGTTTTTTTAAATACCACTGCTTCAATTTAGGGGCCCTGTTTCATCTACACACGTCCCTGTGGATTCCTGCCTGGCTGCTGTGGAATTGAGACTTCTTAACCACCCAGAGCAACCATCCTGCTGTTGAAAAGATTTTGTCCCACTGTCATATGACTAACTTATTGAAGGCTAGAGAAGAAAGATAGTTTCTCTCTACTGGCTAATTGTAGGAAGTGTTATAGTGAAGAAAAACAAAAGGAATAAGGGGAAAAGGAGAGAAATGCAGAAAGGAGATGGATGTGAAAGGAAGAGGCCAACTGAAGAAAGAGATAAGGACTGCATTCTTATATCAAAGTATTGCCGCTAACATTTATCAGCAAGCATTATTAATTCTATTACCCTCTATTATCAATTCTGCCAAGCAAAAGGTGGTAAAATTAATGAACTATTTCCTAATAGAACAGTACATAAAGGAGTATGAATAATGACTATCTGGCTCTGTTACTTGGGACAGTATGTGCTAGTACCATTTTCATCCCTAACTCTACCAACACTTTTGGATCCTGTATCCCACCCCAGTGAAAGACCAAATCATTGTAATGATGGGAAGAACAAACATTACAGAAAAGCTGAAATACAATCATTTATACCTTCCAAAATAAAGTTATGTTTTTCTGCTTCTTTATGGGATCTTCAGTAATAATTCTCCAAAATTCTGGACCTTTCAGGGGAGCTGCAAAATGACATCTATTTTAAGGAGGAGCACAATTTCACACTTGTCACTGAAATTTGATGCAACTACCAACTTTGGAACATGTCTGTAAATTACACATACCTTTGACATCTTTTACCACCGTAAAAGCGGATTTGCTCCAATCACTCCAGTAACCTACTCCATCGACTCCTATGCAACGCACCTGAACAATGTAGACAACGCAAAGATCTGGTACCTTTATCAGGACTGATTTTGTTTGTGCTTTAGAAACCTCATATGTCTATAAAAGAAGTAAAAACACTTGCATTAAAATCCCCAAAACTTTTTCGGCATCTCATTGACATTTTAACTCATCAGAAAGGTAAATTAAAAACTCTTTTCATTGATTCCAATGAAAGAGACATCAGATTCTGATTCCTTTCTTAAATAAAATAAATATGAAGAAATATTAATAGAATTTACTACATACAATGAATTCAACAGATACTGGCTAACTGATACAGACTTCATTCACAAGCACTGTAGTGAGGCACATGTTAATTTTGAGTAAGTATGCTAGTACCTCCCAAGTTATTTCTTTCCTCTTCACAGCATACTGAATTTGAAACTTAAGCTCAATGGTTGCAAATGCTGGGTTTGTCCAGCTCACATTCAGCAGCCCAACATTCTTGGTAATTTCTGCTCTTACATTGGAGGGAGGAAATGGCTTCACTAGAAAAATGAAAAGAAGAAATGAAACTAAAATCTGCACTCCAAAATTTCTAATGTGATACAATGTTACTGGGTATCTATTTTTCTCTTGTACTGGACCATACTGTTAACTCAGCTGGTGCAAGGCAAATCTGGCATTTAATGCAAAGGCATTTTCTAATTCATTACTAAATCACAAGAGATTGGCTTAGTCATTTGCTACATACTTGAAGGGGAACAGTTTCTGGCTTAGAGAAAACTACTATTATGACATTCCAAAATTGTTTTGATATTTCAATCTCATTCTTTTCACAGAATACACAGTTCAGAAAAACTCAATTATGAAATGTCAAGAAGTTTAATTTTGTCGGTCATTTCAATTGGGTTAGGTCTACAGTGATGGCTAAAACCAGATCAACTACTGTGATTTCCCTCCAGGGCCATCTGTACACGCCACAAAATTGGCCTTTAAAGCAGCCTAATGCCCTTTTGCACTGCTTTAATGGTGCAGCTGTTTGCACGTGTTGGCAGAGTAATGCGCTTTAATGGCGGGCTGTTTACACATGTCGGAGGCGTAATACATGTTAAATGACTTTGGGACGCAGCAAAATAAAATGTCTCTGAGCTGGGTTAGTTTGCTGCAGAGGGAAGCACTGGGCCCCGTGCACCAGGCCTCAGGGGCTGTGCATACAGCCTGTGCAAACAAGCTCCACAGAAAGAAGAAAAAAAGCAGAGAGCCTGATCTTTTTTCCCTCCTCTCCGGAGCCTGCCTGCCTGAGCTGCGCAGGGGCTCAGTGCTTCCCTCTGCAGCTGCGGTGCCCTCCGGGACCACTCAGGCCAGAGGCTTGCAGGTGGGTGCTGCTGCTCCCATGGAGGGAAGCACCACCCCACCCCTCAGCAGCTCAGGGACCCCTCGGTGGGCAGCTTGTCCTCCTCTCCCCTCCCCGCCACCAGAGAGGAAGGTGAGGGTCAGGCCTGACCCTTGTGTACATGCCACAGGGGTTTACTTCCCCCTAAATTGAAGCGGTGTTTTTAAAGACCCACCACTTCAATTTAGGGAGAATTAAACCGACGTAAACCCCTGTGGCGTGTACAAACGCCCATGATCACTGCCAAAATGGAAGAACCAGAGCCCATTATAGGAGATGTAGTTTGGTCAGGGAACAGAGTCTCTATGGGAATATGGATGCATAAGTGACAAAGAACTTCAATTTCCATCACACACGGTAGTGGTTCTAGTAGATATGGACCACTTTGAAATGAACATTTTTGATTTTCCTGATGGAAAATTTCACCAAAACCATCTTTTCCAGCAGATAATTTCAGGCATCTCAAATCACCATTTTGAACAGGAAAATGCTTTGTCAAAAAGCACCTTCTTAAAAAAAAAACCCAGAAGCTGAAGAAAAAGCCTGCTGCTTACAGACGACATACTTCTACATTTTAATATGCAGAGCACAATTCACTCATTGTAGCTCAACTGCAATCAGTTCTTTCTTTGAGGTTTAAGAGGGAGGAACGAGTTTTAAAAATTGGACATTAAAATTACTCAGAGCAGATGCATTTGGAGGCCTGTGTTTGTCAGCACTGGACAAGGCCTAGTATTTTCTTCAATCCTTTCCTCAAAGAGACTGGATATTTGATCTATCAGCCCAAGTAACAATGCATATGACTGGCAACTTGCATGATAGGATAGCTGTGGTGTAAATGAGTGCCAAATGCTTTTGGCACACTCAAGAAGCAGTAAAATACAGAATCAAAACAGTCTTCCATGCTCCACTACGTGTAATAGTATATACCAGGGGTGGCAACATGTGACAAGTGCCACAGGTGGCACAAGCAGCCTGTGTGTGTGGCATGTAGCAGATCACAGAGGAAGCAGAGAGCAAAGGAGCAGATAGTAGAGGAAACAGAAAGCAAAGCAGCAGAACAGGCATGGACGTAAAGGGCTGGGAGCAGATTCAGCAGGGGAAGGGGAAGGGAATGGTACTTGCACATGGCAACAAAAAAAGTTGCCCCCACAGGTATGTTCCATCTGAGGAAAAGTAGCACTGAAGGCCAGAATTACAGTAGGTAAAAGTCATAAGAATCAGCAAACTTGCTTGTCAAAAAAGGATGAAAAGTCTGAAGAATGTTTTTTTAAAAAAAAAGTGGCTCCTTGAATATGTACTCATTTAAAAGTGTCTGAATTCACAGAATGATTGTGAACTCCGAAGTGGCTCTTCACAAGCAAACTGCATAATTGCACTACTATGCTTTAACATACTCATCAGGATAGTGCTTAAGTAACATCTTAAGTAAGAGCCGCAAAACTAAATTCTACATCCCAAAACTGATCTGAGAAAGCACTGTGGCCATAATGCATTGTTTTTTCCCTGTGCAATTCTTTTCATTTCCTCAGTTTAAACTTTAGATTGAATCAACCATTACTATGTGGGCCAAAGTTGTATTATCTCTGTGAATGCAGTCGTATACCTCCCTTATAACATTGTATTTCATTCTGTTCTCTTCTTGTCATGCTTTTGCAATCTAACTGAAGAAGAGAAAGAAATACCTATTACAAACACTGACTACAGATGTATAGAAAAAAAACCTCTATATTTCTGCTTTGAGAAAGTGCAATAAAAATATTTTGGCAGAGATTGTAGAATTCAAATCTTAATTTTGTTCCTGCAAGATAGTCACACACTGTCCAGCAGAAAGCCAACACATGTTTATTCTCTTGGACCTTGCAGATCTTTGGCTTGGCAGTAAATAAACCTTCCCTGTAGACTTGGCAATGCAAATGCCTGAAGTCTTCTACCAGATATTGGCTTTCCCTGTAGCCTCAGAACAAATGTATGTATTCCACTAGAGTTAGTTCTGTTAGCTTGTTGAACCTAAAACAATCCAAGTGAGAGATACCACAAGTTGCAAAAATGCCATGAGAAAAATCTCACAGTGGTTCTAGACAGGACTTAAAACTGGAACACGTGTATCTTATGGGTCATGCAAATGTTAAAGAGCTTTGCTGGATCAAGGGGTGAATCAAAAATCTAAACGTAAGTCATATCAGAAGACACAAGACACTCACTGAAAGATTATTAATTGTGTTTGGATAGTTAGAGTTTTTAATTCAAAGAGATGAATTATTTATGTACTTAGCTGTGCTAGGCTGAATTCAAGTAGAAAGCAGGGTAGAATTAAACTTTTAGACTTAAAATTTTAGACTAACCAAGTCTTTATAAACTAACCAAAGTAGTCTTAACCCTCCCCCCCACAACTCCCACACACACACTTATAGTCCTAAAATATTATTTGGGGTCTGTTTAGAATTTTTTTGGAAAGCACAACATCACTACATGAGTGGAATCAAAATGATGGTACTACTTTCATGTTAGTATTATTGTTGTTCCTATACACTGAGCCTAGAGGCGCCATCATGCTGTAGGCTCTGCAAACACAAACATGAGTTGCCCTGACCCCAGAAACTTCCACTCTAAGACAAACATGACTCTGAAAACTAAAAGGAAGAAGCTAAGGAGTAGATTAAATTTAGGAAAATAAGGACCCTGGCTACATAGGTTAGTTATTGTATAGTTTAGTGATTCCTAGTGACTCATATATATATTTCAGTTTGGTTTTATTTGAAGAATATCAACCATCTCTGGCTGCCACACAACCCAGACATTCTTGCCTGGCTACTTTCATATAGTTATCATAACAAAAGCATTACTGGAGGAGGAGAAGTTAGTAATTTTATGACTATTTGGGCATGCAATTCCATGTTTAAAAAGGGCTGCACCATTAACTTTCAAAATGTGTACCATAAGAAGTTTTTAACCCAACCTTTATTGCAAGAGTCTTTGCAGTGGCCACAATGCCGATAAACACTACAAAACTGGCTTTCATCTTAAATATACTGTGTCTGACTCAGAAGTAGATCCAGGATGCTGAAAAGTGGGGTATGGAAACAGAGAGCTCACTGAGCACATCTCCTTTGGCCAAGACTGGTGCTCTTGCTGGTAAAGGGGCACTGCTCCTGGACTGACTAAAGCCCAATGAACTCTGTGGAAAGGATTTCAGTATTTTCAATCATTTTGGATGAATTAAATTATCACTGAAAGAGATCATGACTTTTTTTGTTTTTTCTAAATGAACAACTACTGTGTGTATGATGCATAAATGCTGAGCGCCAAAACTACTACTGGAAGAAAAAGCCACTAAGGAAATCTTTGACTTACCTACATCTGCTGGAATGACACATGTTGGTGGGGACTGAAGTGTTCCCAACAGGTGTTTTATCTCTATCCACATGGTATATCCTGATAAGAGGAAGATAGGCTGAAATGTGCATTCATAGGAATGATTCCCCTGTAAATGGCACTCTTTTATCTCCGACTTTGGAGGTTCACTTTGAAAGTCAGAACAGTAGATACTGCTCCTTAAAAGAGATGAAATATTTCAGTTAACAACTTTCAACAAACAACTGATTGTGGTATCAATAAAATAAAAATCAGGAAGAAGTAAAGAGAATACTGTCACTAGAGTCTGGAGAACCTTGGGGTAGGAGGAAAAAGTATTGGGGAATAGTTTGTTTTATTCACAGGAACTTGCAAAAGTTTTGGTTTGAAACTATTCCCAAACTTGGGTGGAATTCACCTGAATAGTTTTGACTGAACAGACTCAAGGAAACCATTCAGACTCTCCATGCTAAATTCTCAAAGGAACTTAAGAACCATTCATAACATCAGTGAGGATGTGTGATGGTGGCCCTATAGCACTCCAGTGTGCTTGCATTCATATCCCCACCTGCCTGAATCAGAGCTGGCAGCTGAATGGAGATCTTCCACCTCTCTGGAGACTGCAATAACCATCAGCCTACAGGGAATTCTGGAATGGACTCTTCCACTGAAGCTGTCCTACTTTGCATAAGTATTGAATATTCAGCGAATGTCTTGAGATCAGCTATAGGCTCATACTTTTGCTCTTACCCAATGACTATTTTAATATTTATGCTGAATTGAACAGCTCTAAAGGACAAATTGAAAAATCCCACCCTACAATATCTGACACACTGGTGGCTAGACTCTCTCCTGAGAGCTGGAGACCTTGGGCGTGTGTAGACGAAATGGGGACCCTAAATTGAAGCGGTGGCTTTAAAAACCCACCACCTCAGTTTAGGGCAAAGTAAACCCCCATGTCATGCACACACCCAGCACTTACCTGCCTCTCTGACCGTGGGGAAGGGAAGGTGAGCTGCCAGCGGATAGAGCGGTCCCTAGGCTGCAGGGGGGCTGGTGCTTCCCTCCGCATCAGCAGCAGCCCCCCCCCCACCAGGAGGCACCAGCCTGAAGGCACCCAAATCGGGTGGTCCCAGGGGGCATCGCAGCGGCGGAGGGAAGCACCAGGCCCCGCACAGCTCAGGCAGGCAGGCAGGCTCTTGGCGGGGGGAAAGAAAAAAGATCAGGCTCACCATGTTTCTTGGGCAGAGCCTGCTTTCCCGGGCTGCTGCCAGGCTGCCTGCAGGGCTTCCCGCAGAGCCACAAGTAGCCCAGTGCTTTGTGAAAAAAATCTCAAAAGCTTATAATTGCAACATTGGTTTAAACTTTTAAACCAAAGTTTTAATGTTGTTTCTTTATGAACTGAACACTAATTTGTAATAAATCACAGGATTGCACTGTTCAAAGTAACACACTGCAGTAATCTGTGAAAATAAACATTTCTTTTATTCTAAATACCAAACAAAATATTTCCCCCTCTTAGTGTCCTAGCCACACTTACAAAAGCCAGACTCTTGTAATCATTCACTATTCCAAGTGTGAGGGTTGGTTTATTTTGATTAAAACTTCACCAAGTGGCTCATGCAGATAAGGTGCCATATATTCCTCCAGTTTACCTGCTCAAAACCAGCCCAAGTGCAAGACAAAGCAGACTGCTGTCTGACTGCTGTCATGACCTATGCCAAATACATCTACGCAATATTTCTAGTCCCTAGGAAACACATGATCATCATGCCACTGCTCCCCTATAGATCTGTCCCTTGGATAAGACACATTTCCCTATTTCTAGTGCCTTCTCATTATTTTCCTCCTTCCATCTAGACGTTTTCCTCATTCACTCCTTTTTGGTTCTCTTCTCCTCCCCCTTGATGCTACCCTTTCTCTCGCTTTCACCTCGGCCTGTCTTCCATGCGCTATATTTATCCCTGCCTCTGGGGCAAGCATACTAATAACCAGGGATCCAGGTTTTCTGTTTCCCATGGAAAAACAGAGTAAACTGCAGATTTTACCTTTTACCGCAGGCAAATGTGGATTCCTCGTTTTACAAGACACTCACGGATTTTGCCATTTTGCAATGAGCTCCCTGCAGCCTAGCAGAGTTCCTGCCTGCAGGGAGCTGGGAGGGAGCGGGAGGAAGGTGGAGAGACAGGGGGCACCATGTGTATGGACATGCATGTGGCCAGGGAGCCTGCAGAGCAGCTCCAGCAGGTAAGTTGGGGGGAAAGGGAGCTGAGCAGGGCTAAGGCTGCTGCCCAGCCAGGTGGGACTTGGGGCCCAGGGCTGCAACACACAGCTGCAGGGCCCCAGCGGGAAGAAGGACGGACTGGCGGATGGCTCGTCTGGGGGAGGGGAAGGGCTAGCTCCCCGCTGCCATGTGCTCTCCCAGGGAGTAGAGGGGACCTGCGCCCCCCAGATCTCTATGCAGGGCAGGCACAGACTGTGGGCTTGGGTTCCCTCCCTGCTTCCCTCTCCTAGGGACTCTGAAGCCCGGTGGGCACAACCCAGCACAGCTGGGGACAGCAGGGCCATGCGGCAATCTCCTTACCACTGCTCACCCCCTCCCTGCGCTTCCTGAACCTGCCGCTGCTTTGAGGAGTGCAGCCCCATGTTGCTGCCTTCCCTGCAGCCCCATGCACAGGAGATGCATTGATGGGGCCGCACAGGGCAAGCAGCGGTGAGATCCCCACAGGGGCAAGCAGCAGTGAGGAGACCCCCACGTGGCTCCGCTGCTGCCTGCTGTGCTGGGTTGTGCCCACTGGGCTATGGAGTTCCCAGGGGAGGGAAGCAGGGTGGCAGGAAACAGTGGAGCCATGTGGAAAAGCTGCTAGTCGCTGTTCCCTGCCTCCCTGCCTCTCTTTCCCAGGGCCTCCAGAGCCCAGAGGCCACGACCCAGTGCAGCAGCGGAGCCACGTGGAGAACCTCCTTGCCACTGCTCACCCCATCCTGCTCTGGCGACATGCCTTCTGCATGTGGGGCTGTAGTGAGGGCAGTGGCACAGGGCTGTGACCCTCAAAGCAGCAGCAGGCACAGGAGATGCAGTGGCAGGGGAGGGGGAGCAGTGGCAAGGAGATCCCTGCATGGCCCTGCTCTCCACAGCCACACCAGGTCATGCCCACCAGGCTCCAGAGGCCCCAGGGGAGGGAAGCAGAGTGGTAGCCTAAATCTTCAGCCTGAGCCTGCCCTGCATACAAGTCTGGGGGGCGCAGGTCCCCTCTGCCCCCAGGAGTGTGCATGGCAGCAGGGAACCAGTCTGCCCAAGCCTGCAGCAAGGCAGAAGTGGGGGCAGGGGGCTGTGGGCCTGGGTCCATAGCCCTGGCAGCTGGGGGCCCCTTCCAGTAAGGTTGGGGGAGCAGGGGCTCTGGGTGGGGGACAAGGGGTACCAGCAGGGCCAGGAGGGTTGTGGGGGAGCTTTAATTTTAATCACAGATTTTGGGGGGTTTAGCAGAGAATTTGGTATTTTTTCGCAGGAAATTTGGTATTTTTTAAATCAGGGAAAACCAGGATCCCTGCTAATTACTTCACAACGGCGTGGAGGTCCACTTCAGCCTGCACTACGTGGAGTGGGAAATGCAACAGAAGATCAGGCCCGTGAGCAGGAATAGCCACCATGGTACAAAGGTGTAACAAAAAAGCTAGATGCCTGGGGTAGCAGGACACAAGGGGGCAGCACCGAAAATGTAGACAGAAGTGACAATTTTTGCCCAGTTTGGCCCCTGAAAGTGCTCTACAGCCTTGACCAAACACTAGTGCATGGCTGCAGAGCTCTTTAAAAGGGCCTGATCCCATGACAATGTGAACCATCATTGCAGAAGGGTTCAGATGAAGACGCTCAAAAAAAGAGGACCTTCAGTGACATCTGTCTGCACGTGCTGGGAGCAGGAGTGGGCTAACAGCTCAGCCCTTCTCTCAGTGCTGTCTTCATAATGGGAGAGGGGAAGGGAGCAGAGGGAGTTTGGTCTGGGTTCTTTTCTGCCAGCAGTGGAGAGTGGGGCAGGGATCTCCAATCCACCCAACCTACCCTCCCAGCTGAAAAAACCCTAGACCAAACTTCCTCTGCTCCCTTCCCCCACTCCCATTCTGAAGACAGAACCAGGACTGGGAGGTGGGAGGGACCTGGGTCCCTCCTTGCCACTGCTAGATGGGGAGAGCAGCTGCAGACTCACAGCCACTCCAAATTGCAGATGAATCCCCCAACCCCTGGGACCCAATAGCGAACATCTCTTGGGTCTGGAGGATCGCTGTAACTCATTGTGCTTCCTGCAAAATTCTATGAGTTACAGCAGGGACCTGCACTTCTCTCTGCACCTTGAGCTCTAGCTGCCACCATGCTGCCAGTGTGATTGTGTGGCTATGGAAGCAGTTTCTAACTTGGCACCTGAGCTGTCCCTTTGTTCTTCACTGGATATCTCTTGATAGACACAGCTATACTTTCCTGAATTTGGGCTTAAGAATGTTTTCTAAAATTGATGTAGTATTCAGAAGAAGAGGGAAAAGGAATTAAGACTGCAGAGAAGACCCATGGATGGAGAAGATGATGCAGAGAAAAAAGTTTACCAATTATGGAACACTGTTCTAACTTGAGGAGTGAAATGGTCTCTATTTGAGAAACCTATCTTCTAGTTCTTTAACTAGCTGGGACTGTCAGAATCGCTTTAAATTAGAAAATAAGGGAAAAATTACAGAAACAAAAGGAACAAGTCTGAATACGACCTCCCTTTTCCAAAATTGTAGCAGAGATTTTCTATTGATCAAAATTCTCTCTAAAAAACAGACCAGATTCTGCCATCCATTACCCCGGAGTAGGTCTGGAATTATTTCATTAACTTCAATGGTATGAAAGAGGTCAGAATTTCCAAGTCTGCCTCTTCCTTCCAATTCAGCTATAAGACTAAAAAGCAAGGTCATTTTTTCTGAACATAAGAGCATGGAGCAAGCAGTACTGAACTCAAACTCACTTCAGCCAATAGAGCTGCTAAAAAAGACAAAGCAACTTTTACTATCATTGTCTCTTGAACAATATCTTTCTCACTTGGGGCCCTGCTACATATTCAGATTAAAGCGGGATAGAAACCAGCTATTAAACTGTTACACATTTTCAAGCATTAACTTTATAGCTAGTTGGTTCTGTTTATAGCTTGATAGTCATTTTTATGGTATGCTAATTATTTTGCATGTGTGGTTGGTGTAAATTTATTGTATGACTAACCCATTAAGTGTGTGATAATTACTTTTCACATGTGGCCAGTATAAATTTATTGCATGATTAACCAGTGTGATGTATGTAATGTGTAGCAAGGGCCTTGGAGTGAGACAGCTACCAGACTCATATGTATATGCCCTGCATATATGGACTGTTCTAATTTATACACACAAGCAACTAGTCTCATTCATACAAATTATGATTCAGGCAAATTCTCCTCTGAGAAAACCCATACAAATCTAAGTTTCATTTAATAAATGTGAGATAGGATCTGCATCACAGAAATAACAGAAGTATTTAGAAGAAAAAAGGGAAGCTTAAAAACGCACATTAGTCTGCTCATTAAGGACAAGGTCCTACCGACATAAAGCTCACACAAAAATCTCACATCGTTATTTAATATTTTCTACCTAAGTTTCAAATGCTTCTGGCCACCTTATCACAGCTGACATCCAAGTAATGCAGAAAGTCTAAATAAAATGTATATTGTGTATTTTAGGTATCTAAGTGACCTAATTTGTACACATGGAATATGTGCTGAAATCTGCAAGTTCCAGCTTGGATGCCAGCTGTAAAGCCAGTTAAAGATTGGCCTGCAAAATTGAAGCAGATCATATATAACCTCATAAAGATTTACTATCTTTTTCTGTAACATTTCAAGAGCAAGTCTTCAAACAAAAATAATGCATTAAGAGCTATACACACCTGTAGTATCTTAGCTGCAAAGAACTCCCCATAAGCAACATGATTGTGTTTGCGGACCATCTGCAAGTCATTTTAGTTAAGTACCCATCAGTTTCACATGTGATATTGATATTGACATCTATTTAAAACACAGTGAAAACATTAATATAAAACATAGATAAGACTGTTAATACACAAAAATATGAATTACAACTCACTATTGACTGCTAAAGGCTGATTGGAATTTTGAACTGAAACATTCCAACCATATAAAGTTCTGAAGTTCTTGATAAAATTGAAAGCATCTTGAATCTTACCTACTACATATAATTCAGCATATCTGTGATGACATTCCCTGCTTTGATGACAGCAGTACAACGCATTATAGAAGAACGTTCCTCTAGGTTTTGTTGCATTCAAGTTGAAAAGCGTAACTTTGCTTATGTGATCATTCACGAGTGTGTACTGACTTTCTGGGATTTCTTCTGCTAAATTTAGCCACCAAACAATCTTCTTGGACAAAACAATCTGATTTTTGTTAATATAGATGCAGTGAAATGAAACATTAGAACCAACACTCGTCAGTATCTTACGAGGAAAGTACATGACTTCTGTCACAGGAGAAAAGAAAACAAAGAAAGAAAAAAAAACCCTTGTGAGAAATGATATCTCAAAGAAGAAAAAGTAGCTTTAGAAAATCATTTAACAATTCAAAATATTTACTGTTTTGAACCTAGCTCCTAAACAAAGAAATCCAACCCTCCCAGTGTAATGAGAATTAAGGAATATTGGAACAGCTGCAGAAGACCCAATTACTTTTTTTTTAATTACTTTTATCTATCAGACATATATGGACAAGTACCTTCAATATTTCCAATCACACAGAAATGAAATGACAAGAGGTTACAGGGCCTACAGCATAGTCTTACACATACAGTAAATTTTCACGTACTTTTTGGTGCACTTTTTTCAAAATGTCAGGCCTTTGACACTTCAGATAAATAGCCATTTTAATGCTGCAGTAGTTATTTTGCAAGTTAAAACTATGTAGTGCTTTTCATGCAAATACACACGCAATTAATTTTATGACAAACCATTAGAAATGTACACATGCTCTCAAAATAATTAAGTCATTGTGAGATAAAGCAAGTTTGCATTTGGAAAAATCCACTAAAATTGGCTATTCTCTGAGTGCCAACAGCATATAAAATGATGAAGACATATTAATAGAATGATTACACTCGTATTTGAATATTAACTTAAAGATGCGTGATGAAAAAAGACAGTACAATATTAGGTCTTATGCTTATAGTGCATGTACCTAGTATGCTAAAACATGTTAGTTACTTTGCAGAAGCACCCATCACGCACTTAATACATTGTTGACCTACCTTAGGACATTCAACAGTGAATTACTGAGTGCTGTCTAAAAGTCTGAAAGTGTAAGTCTTCAAAAAGAGGCATAATGAGCTTTTATAAATATTTCATATCTGTGCTTTTCACACAAGAAGCACAAATTTTCAAAACTCTATTATAGTAAAGAAGCAAAAATCCAGGGGTAACTTATGCAACAGTGCATAAAGTGGGACAAATTATTTATTATGAAGACAAAATGACAAAAATCAAATCAACACTGTACAATTTTAGACATGGTAAAAAGCACAATGAACACAGCTATCAGATAATTAAGAGCAAGCTGGGAAGTATTTATGGTAAGTGGGAAAATATCCAGTCGAACTAAATTTCTGAATAGAAGATGATACTAGCAACATGTAGGACATTTTCAGGCAACATCTCAGCCACCTTGCCTCCCTGATCCTGTGTTCTCTGAAATCAAGAATGAGGTTCTCACTAACTTTGGCATAGCAAAATCAGGCCCTACAACAGTTAGTGAAACTGAACCACAGCCAGGATTAGGCTGTATCAAATTAGTCACAGTTGTATTCTTACTAAGGAGATTATAAAGCATTTTTGAAGTAGCCAAACAAATGGGGACTAATGAACAAAAACCCAGTTCACCAGCTCACCAACATCTTGCCTCCAATTTTGCAAACTGCAAAAATGTGTGTAAGGCAATTCCTAGTCAGCCATTCACTAATAGGAGTTAAGCCAGGGGTGAGCAATTATTTCAGCTGGAAGACCGCATAATGAGTTCTGGTGACCTGTTTGTCCTGATTTACGTTTTTGAGTGATGTATACAGAGGTGATTGCATCATAGTTCAAAATAAGTCTTAATATTGTATATTGTGGGAAGGTGGGGGGGTAGAGGATGGGCATGTGGGGTAGGTGTGCACGTGTCAGGGTGGGGGGGGAGGGGCTGCCCACAT